GTAAGGGGGGGCTATGAGGGGTCTGGGGTGGCATCCCCTCCCACCCCACTCCAGACCCCTCATAGCCCCCCCTTCTGATAGTCCGGCATATCTGATAATCTGGCACCCCCTGGGTCCTAAAGGTGCCGGATTATTGGAAGTTTCCTGTACTGTTATAATGTGAGGCTGAGAGGTCTGATTTTAAAAATTAAACTGAAGCAAATGAAAACAAAATAATAAGAAAAGCTGGACTTCTAAACACATTTGTAATGGGCTTAAAGTGCAGCAGGGAAGGTTTAGATTGGACATTAGGAAAAAATTCCTAACTGTCAGGGTGATCAAATATTGGAATAAATTGCCAAGGGAGGTGGTGGAATCTCCCTCTCTGGAGATATTTAAGAACAGGTTAGATAGACATCTGTCAGGGATGGTGTAGACGGAGCTTGGTCCTGCCTTGAGGGCGGGGGGCTGGACTCGATGACCTCTCGAGGTCCCTTCCAGTCCTATTATTCTATGATTCTATGATTGGTGGTGTCAGCCATGAACAGCACTCAGAAGACTTAGAAATAGCATAAGAAACAGTAACTACAACCAAGCAACCAATATCCTCATGCTCTCTAACAGAAAAGATTTCAATTGTATCTAGCAGATTCTAAACACTAGATCTAGACGTAACCAGCCAAGAACAACAGCCTGAGGTGCTGGATGTGGAAAAACAGAAACTAAGACAATGGTACTGGAAAAGGAAGTTTGCATTAAAATACTTTTAGAAAAATCAATACAGGTTGAAACTCTTTTAACTGGGACACTCTGGTCTGGCAAGACCATGCATGTTCCAGGACCAGAGAGTCCCAGTGGAGGGCTAGCTCCAGGGCAGCAGGAGCCCCACATGCAGCAGTGGGGCTTCTCGGCAGGGTTGTGGGAGCCCCATGAGCGGCAGCAGGAGCTCGGTGCAGAGGCTGTGGGGCAAGCAGGAGCAGGAGCCAGGATCTGCACTGGGAACCCGGAACGCAGAGGCAGCAGGGCTACTGGGCACTGCAACAGGAGCCTAGGATGCACACAGGTGGCAGGGCTGCCTGGTGCAGCAGTGGAAGCCCAGTGAGCAGAGGAAGTGGGGCTGCCTGGTGCAGCAGCAGGAGCTGGGCACAACAGCAGGAGCCCGGTGTGCAGAGGTTGTGGGGTGGCCTGGCAGAGCAGCAGGGGCTGACAGGGCAGCGGGACCAGCAAGAGGGGGGAGTCACCTGGGAGGGCAGCAGTCGGGCCAGGGCTGGAGGGGGCTGGCAGAAGAGGGGACAGAAATGAGTCAGGCAAAATCCCTCATCTGGGACCAGTGAGGTCCCAATGGTGTCAGACCAGGGAGGTCCAACCTATAGAATTATCTACTATATATTTTAGAGAGTTTGTCTGTTTGATCAAGCACTCCTCCTAAATGGTAAGATTTACGACCACCAAATTTGGAATACAGCTTCCTCTTATTGTAACTGAAAACAACATAAGGTTTTGGTTGTGCCAAGAAAGTGGGTTGTGTCAGGAATGGGATTGATTCTCATAAAACCAAACAGAAAAGACCCAGAACCACCAAATCAAGAACAGGTTGAACCTCTAATCTGGCACCCTCGAAAACTGACTGGTGCCAAACTAGGAATGTTAAATATTGATTAATTTTGGGATTGATTCTCATAAAACCAAACAGAAAAGACCCAGAACCACCAAATCAAGAACAGGTTGAACCTCTAATCTGGCACCCTCGAAAACTGACTGGTGCCAAACTAGGAATGTTAAATATTGATTAATTTAATAGTTAAATAACCTCATGAATTCTTATCAGTTATTCAGCTATTCTATAGTCCCCAGGGTGGGGCCAGTAGCCAGTGCAGTCCGGCTCCTCTCCCAGGGATCCCCCTGCCACTCCATATTGCTTCTGTATCAGAGGCAGCAGTGCAGGGTGGCAGGCAGAAGCTGGCCTGCAAGGGGAGACGGTTTAAAAATCACCTCCCCTCGTGGACCGGCTGCTTGTTGCCCTGTGCTGCTGCCGCTAATAAAGAGGCAGCAGTGCAGAGTGAAAGCAGCCCTTGTCCTGAGGGGGATGTGAACTCCCAGACCTGGTGCAAGCTGGAACTGAGCTGGGCTGCCTACCCGCTTAGATCCTCAGACACTTTAAATGCAGAGCTGCAGCAAGGATAGGTCCTGAACCCATCGCAAGCCAGGACTGAGCCCAGCTGCTGGCCAGCCTGCTAAAAAATTTACTGGTAAGTGGGAGCGGGAGGGAGTGAAATGCGTGTATACTATAGCATTAGCCTATACGCTCTTGCTTATCAGTTAATTGACTACACTATTACATTCCTGTGTCAAGCCAGAAAATTTGCTAAACCATGGGAGGTCAATATTGTCTAGCAACATTACTAACACTTCCTCTGCTTAATGGGCTCTAAGTCATCTAGAGGTAAATTAGAGCTAAAAGTAACAGCACAGAACACTGAGAGACAGGTCTGATGGCTGTGAACAAACTTCATGGGACCATGGGAAACTTGGCCATACCCACAATAGGTGGGCATCCGGCTAATTAAAATCATGCAGGACCACAGATGTTGCTGGACCAGCGAGTGCTGGACTAGAAAGGTTCAGTTCTGAAATGCTGAAGGAGACTGAATCAAGCCAGAAACATAGGATGAACCTGGAATCGGATTGCTTCTCAATAAACCTTACAGAAATGGAGATAAAATGGAATGGAAGAGAGCACTTGGGATTGTAAGAATTGACAATGAATAGCTATGGTCATATGAAGAAATCTGCTTGAAAAAACAAATATGGAATAGCACTCTATTCACCTAAGGCAGAAAGTTTTCTTTAAAGGATTCTGACCATTCCTTTTCAATTGTTCCTTCATTTCAGATGATCAAATGCGGACATTTTATCCCTGTAGCTACTTGCTGTCAAATATTTTTTCCCCTTCACTATGAACTATTTGCATCTGTATCCCAAGGCAATGGTTGCTCAATGGAAAACCATTGAATTGCTAAGATGGCATTGACTATTAGGCCAGACTCCACTCCTTTCCACCCCCACTTGCAGTGTCTGTCACCATGAAATCAAAGCACATTAACATGGGGGTGTCAGGCTCATTAGCTTGCAAGTACAAAAGAATGGTTAAGGAAAATGCATTACAGCCAATAATGGAAAAGAAGGAATTCTATATTCTGAAATATAACTGTACAATGAATCACTCATCATTATGGAATTTACAAAATATGTTTTAAAAAGGAGGCAAGCAGAAGCAAATGTTAAAACATAATCACAAAGAACAAAAAATAATTTAAAATACCAGAAACTGAAATATAAAACATGGTACACACACATACATAAATACAAAACTTACAATAAGACACCCTAAATTCCTATTCTCATTTCAAGACACGCTTAAACTCAGTGGAAAAGTCGTCCTTCTCTCTTTCATCATATAT